CCGACACCAAATGGTTCTCCAAATCCACAAATCAAACTTTCAAATCCCTAGCCTCCAATTCCCAATTTCCACCTTAAATACACACTAAATAGGTGAGAAAATACATGAGGAAGCAAGATTATTGATCAAAAATAAGCACAAGGGACTTGCCTCAAGAAATCTCTCGAAAATGCTCTCAAAAATCGCCCTAAACCGAGTTGCAAAGTCCCAAAATGACAAAAATCGCGAAGCCCTACGATTTTAACCACTGCCCAGGTATTTCCGCACCTGCGAAGCTTGGACTCGCACCTGCGGGTGCGCTTGTGCGGCAAAATGTGCGCATCTGCACAAATCACTTACCCCCTCTGCCTTCGCACCTGCGATGAAAGGGCCGCACTTGCACGTGCGCGCCTGCGGAAACCCCTTCCGCTTCTGCAGACCTTGCGCACCTGCGACCCTTGACACTCCTCCATTTTTTCGCTTCTGCACTTGCCTATCTGCATGTGCGATCACGCACCTACGGTCTCTCCACCGCATGTGCTAAAATGAGAGATGCCTGAAGACTTCAGCAGCAACTCAAATCTAACTTTTGATCCGTTAAGCACTCGAAACTCACCCGAGGCCCCCGGGACCTCAACCAAGCATATCAACCAATCCTAAAATATCATACGAACTTAGTCGAGCCCATAAATCACATCAACTAATGCTAAAATCACGAATCACCCTCCAATTCAAACTTAAAGAACTTGAAACTTCAAATTCCTACAACCGATGCCGAAACCTACCAAACCACGTCCGAATGACCTCAAATTTTGCACACAAGTCATATTCAACATTACGGACCTACTCCAACTTCCGAAATCAGAATCCGACCCCGATATCAAAATTTCCACTACCGATCCAAATCTCCAAAAATTCGACTTTCGCCATTTCAAGCTTAAATGAGCTACGGGCCCCCAAAACACATTCCGTACATGCCCCTAAGCCCAATATTACCCAAAGGAGCTAACGGAAATGACGGAATTCCATTCCAGAACTGTCTTCATATAGTTCCGACTACGGTCCAAATTCTAAGACTTAAGCTCTCATTTAGGGACTAAGTTTCCCAAAACACCCCAAAACTCAAAACCAATCATCCCGGCAAGTCACAATAGCAGAAATAGATATGGGAAAAAATAGTTAATAGGGGTTCGGGCTCTAACTCTCAAAACGACAGGCCGGGTCGTTACAACTCGATAGTTTTCCTGTACTTCTCTTCTAGTTGGGTGTGTTTCGCCCCCACAACAGCCAACTCTTCAATTTTGGAGTTCAAGGCTGCCTCTAAGTTAATCACTCTTTCAGCGGAGGCAGCCTCATGATCGGTTGCAGCAAGAATGACGTCCTGGACTTCATCCCATTTGACCTTGGCTTAATCAAATCTTAACCCTTAGCGGCCCAATTTCTTGGCTAAGGGTTACCACTTTTTTCTTGCTTTGCTGCAAACGAGCCTCCAAAATAATGGCCTCAGTAGCTTTGATTTCCAGTTCTGAGAGGCGGAGAACAGTTTGGTTCTGTTCCACCAAAAGCTAATTCCGTTACAAAGTAAGATCCTCCTTCTCACGAATCAACCTCTGAAGACCCTCAGAAGAAAGAAAGTTGGCCTACAAAATGAGAAGAAGTCAAACTTAGAATATTTTCATACAAAAATAGAAGAAGTGATGAAGGAAGAAAGGAACGTACCGCTGCGGCGTTATGCATGGCGTTGTTCAACAAACACTCTCCTGAGAGTGCCTGAATCTTTTCCAGTCTTTTTCTGAAGCCAAAGGCTTCAGATAATTAGCAAGCTCCACCGGCCGGGATAGCAAGCTGCATCCGGTAGAGATCGAAAGAGTAACATTCCTCCTCCTTTGTGGATCTTCAGAATGGACAACATAATTTTGCCCCAAATTCCCATGAATTGGGGACTGTGGAAGAGGAACACCTTCTTCATGGTCAGATGTGGTCGATGTAGGTGATGTAGCAACTGTTGATGGAAGTGTGGATGAAAATGGAAGTGATGTAGCAGTTGCTTGTGTTGGTGAAGGTGGAGATGAAGCTGATGGAGTTGAAGAGTGAGAAGCAGAAGCATCAAATACAGTGCTGGCTGTTGGATACTCGCCAACCAAAGACATCAGGGACCCAGTACTCAGCCCCGCACGGTTACGACAATTGGGGTCCGAAAATGGGAGTTGGCATTTTCTACCAAATTAAATTCTCCCTAAAGTGCCGAGACATCGTCTTCAGCTGGTGTAACTATCTCAACAGGTCGAGCATCCTGTTGAGCTGATGAGGATCATCGCCTTCTATGTAAAGAAGCTCCCTCATCAACAACTTTTTCATCATTATCAATTATCACGGTGTCTATGATCGGTCCGGAAGGAGGACCAATCATTATCGTCACTGGAGATGACTCGGGGGCATCAGTGTTTGCCCTCTTATTCTTTTCCCCGGCCGCGGAGGAACGTCTTCTATTTGGTTGCTTATCCTCCGGTCGGGGACTCCATAAAGAAGTGTTTGCGCCCGAAACAGGCCTGGAGATACCTGTTGGAGTAAGTGCTTCCTGAAACAGCCTTACTGTATCAACAAGATCAACTAAAACGTCCTCCTCGGGGAAAGCAACAGAGCCCGCAGGTAGACCTAATTTGGTGAACAAGTCAGAAGGGTTCAACCAAGTTCTTCATATACAAAAAAATGGAAGCAAGGTAAATTAAAATTACCATGATTTTTGGCCTTTCACCCGTATTTAAGGGCCAGTTCTTTCCACAAATGAGTTTTGGGCGTCATGGCGTCCAAGATCTTCTCAACCCACCGGTCCAAACCTTCCACCACCGGTGGAATCCATCGAGTTGCTGAAACATGCGAAGGGTGAAGAGGGCTTACAGCCATAAAAGAATATCTAGTAAAAAGAAATACTAAACAAAGAGCTTACGAGTGTGGCTCCAAGCAACCGGAAAGGATGAAGCCATTGTCGGAATGATGTCATTGGTGGCAACTGCAACGAACCATTCAATCTACCCACGGTCGTTGTCATCATCCATGCTAGACAGCAAAGCATGATAGCCACACTTGTAGAGATTTATCATTCCCCCGTGGAAGATTTTGGGGGAATAGAGATTCATCATATGAGCTAAGGTTAGCTCCTCTCCAGTTTTCTGGCATAAACATCGAAGACGGGTGACCGTCCTCCACACTGAAGGACTTACCTGTGCCAAACACACTTGGTAGCGAAGGCAAAACTTCGCAATCACGGAATCAAGCTCTCCACTTAAAGAAAATATGTGTAAAAATATGTAAACCCTTCCTTGGGAAGGATCACTCACTCCGATAGATCATGAGCAATGATATCCAACTCATGGCAGCGACAGTCTTCATTCACAACAAGAATACTGGAAGGACAAATGGAAGAAGGGTACTTGCTACAACCCATATACAAGGGTTAGCAGTAGGGAATTTCTCTTCAAGGTCCTTTGTGATACTGAGTTTTTTTGGGATGATGGAACCCACCGTTGGAGGAGCAAAGTCCTCGACTTTGTTCTTGTTCTTTGAAGAACCAGCACGCTTGGAGGAAGAAGCCATTGAAAAGGAATAAGAAAATTATTTTGTGTTTGAAGATAATTGGAGAAAGGATGGAAAACAAAGATGCAAATCAGAAGCTCGAGAAATTATGAAACGCAAAGGAAAAGAATGTTACGTATAAGTAAAATTTTGGCGGCTAAATTCATGGCCATAATTACCTTAATAATCGGTAAAAGTTGACGCATTTTCGGGACATTAAATGCGGAGAGACGTGCATCTAATCAACTGTCAAGATCCTTCAAAGGGAGTTATAGAAATTTCCGCCAAAATGGTATTTCTATCAACTTTTCGGTAACACAAAGGTATGTCACAAGCAAAGGGATTATCTGTATAGGGTAAAATATGATATGACACGTGGTCGTCTAAAGGGAGGACACGTGGAACCAAGACGGGGATGGCCAAAGACCGAACGCAGTCATTTCGCTTGTCACCGGAAAGGATAACGTTCATAAAGGTGTATTAAATGCTCTGCGCCCGATAGCATTTAATAAGGAATATTATGCAACATTAAGAGCGACGGCACGTGACAGAGAATTTGGCATTTATATTCACCGTTACATCTTCATCAATAACCCTCATAATTGACATTAAAGTAGGACACAATCCTATAACTTCATTCCCTAGATATAACTATAAATAGTGAGCTCAGTTATCATTGTAAAGGACACGAATTTTCTGGCTGAACTTATACTACATTCTATACAAAGTTCAATACAATCTTACTTTCTTGCTTTTTGATCTCATGCTGTGCCCGAAAATCGTGTTCACGAAATTATCATCTCTGCTGCTCTATCTACATTCTAAGGTTAAGTAATGTATATTTCTTCAATTATTGCATTATTTCTGGATCAAATTAGTTCATTTGTCTAGAAAACATGTATAAATTAAACTGTACCGTTTTACGAGTAAACAAATATCTAAATAATTAAATATTTATGGAGCATTTTTAATTTCTTTTAGTACAATTTTACTTCAGGAATTGTCAATTTCACTCACCAAATAAGTAGAGAGTGGACAATATATTGTTTTTGAGATGACAAGCATTAAAAAAAAAAGCAACAAATGTTAGTAATTGTTAATGTCTGACTTTAAAAAAATAAAGTAGAGAAATAAAGAACACTAGAACAGTATGAGCATATCATGTGGGTTTCACCGTCGGTTGTCTGAAAGAGAAAAAACAGTCAAAAGGATGAACTGTGACCAAAAGTATTCTTCACTTAAAGAAAAATTACGAAACTGGTTTGACGAAAAAATGGAAGCAAAGTAAAAGAGAAAGAAAACAAAAATTGCAAAACCCGTGAAGGCAGTGGCATATACGCAAAAAATAAGTAATATGGAGGGTGTTTCAGTCAATTAAAAATAACAGCAGAGTGAATGTATGCACTCCCGGCCAAATAAAAGTCACATTAGTATTCCTTTCTCTTACTCTGTTGTAACTGTTTAGATAACGGAGCTCCCAGACAAGACACACCGAAGCGAGCCGTGACTAGTGTTTATCTATCTCTCTTCTCTGAATCATTCCAAAACTGCATAACCAGAAGCTTCTTCGCGCAAAGCAATGACTGTAAATTACTAAATCACAGACTAACCTTGTCCATTTCCTCTCAATTTTACGTTTTCTTTCACGTATTTCAGTTCATAGAAAGTTGCATTAACAATTTTTTAAAGCTCTAGTCTGTATCGAAACCCGAAAGCACGGAAATTTGTGTCCTTTCGAGTTTGAAAAACTCGTACGTTTGCATAAATCGTTTGTACAGCGTTAGTGTGAATATATGCATGGAGATATGCGCAGCTTTTTTTTTTATTCTTCAACTTTTTTTTGTGTGTGTAAATTGTGATTTTAATTCCATTATAGGTTTACCTTGCAAGGAATGCTGAAAGGACCACGGGATTGCGGTGGAGTACAGTGAGGTGACGGCGTCACCGTTAATTCAGGTAATGTTGTTGCACTTTTAATGGAGTTCTACTAAAAATATGTTAATTTCTTTTCCATTTTGTTATCCAGGTAGTTTCTCAATATTCAAAAGACGAGTCAAACGACATATTTCCTTTATTATTTGCTCTTTTATTGCCTTTATCATTTTTGTCGAAAAGGAAATTGAAGAGGTATAATAGAATCTTAGACTATTTTTGATATCTCGTTCCCTCATTCTTTTGAGCTTCCATTGCAGCTCAATACTGGTAGCTGCACTTCCATTGCCGGATCTGTTGCAAGCAATCTTTCTGAGTGCATTTTGACTACATATCGGTGCTTTTGAGTGTATTTTGATGGGACTGCATGTGTGTATGCTTGAATCTGATGAATTTTGCAAAACGGATGTTTATAGAAGTCTATATTAAGTCGGCAATGTTGTTCTCTCCAAATTTTACTTAATGATATTGACTTGGAGAGAAATCTTGGATTTTTGTTAAAAGTTTTGAGTGAGTGCTGTTTATAAGGAGTTGATTCTATTGATCTGGAGATGTGCTTCTTATTGAACTAAAAAATTAGAGGGAGTTGAGGAACAATCCGGAATTTAGATATGGCTTCATGGGAACATTTTGGGGAAATCGCAAATGTCGCCCAGCTTACTGGCATAGATGCGGTGAGGCTAATTGGGATGATTGTGAAAGCTGCTACCACAGCCCGGATGCACAAGAAGAATTGCAGGCAGTTTGCGCAGCATCTCAAATTAATTGGAAATTTATTGGAGCAGCTCAAGATTACTGAACTTAAGAGGTATCCGGAAACCCGAGAGCCATTGGAACAACTTGAAGATGCATTAAGGAGGTCNTAAATCAAGTGCGAGGATATGGTCCATATTGCCTGCCGTCAACTGATTCTTTTAAATGCTTAAAAATATTTACAGAAACGCTTCATCAGTTTCGTCCAAACATGAACTGCTGTCTTCAAAGGGTTCACATAGATATGAAGAGTGGCATTCAGATCTGCTCGGCTGCTGTTCAGAACCTCTCTTGTGTATGTTTTAGAACTTGCTTTATGTTCTTTATGTCACCTTTCTTGTGATATTTCATTCTCATTATGGTAAAAAGGAAAACGCAACTGAGTGATGCTTGATCGAAAGCCCTTGATAAAAAACATTATCCTCAGAGGTCCCTCTCACTTGTCTTCAGCTAGCATTTGGGATCTGCATCAGCAAATACAGCTTATTTTTTAATAAGTTAGCAAATACAGATTACTGTCACCAAGCAAATGAAACTTGGCCAATACTTCTAAATTTATCAACAAGATGACATACATTTGAAGTAGAATGAGAAGTGTGAGAGCAGTGTTTTGGATAGTGTGCGGCGACAAATAGCGACGAGGGCCTGCTTCACTGAGGCGAGAGGCGAGCAGCGAAGCGCTCGCCTTTTTTATGTGAAGCGACAATTTATACAAAAAATATAATATATATATATATATATATAACTAAAAACTCAATAGCAATAATATATTAATAAATATATCAATTCAAAACTTAAAAATTTAATAGATAGTCATAGGAGATTCATAAACTAAAACAAGCAACATCTATATGCAATTAATTCTGCTCTATAAGACTAACTGAAAAAAAGAGTAAATTTTAGGTTTGATTTGAACTATGAAGAAGCTCTGTGTCTGACTGCCTCTGCCCGTATCCATGATTAAAAAAACAGAGCAAAACAAAAAAAGAAGAGAAGAAAAAAAAGGAAGGGAAGAAAGAAAGATATAAAGCTAGCTCAAACCTCAAAGAACTCTCTGCTACTTGCTCGAACAACAGAGCCAAAAAAAAAAAGAAGAAAAAGGAAGAAAGAAAGAAGAAAGAAAAAAGGAAAAAGAAGAAAGAAATTTTTTTTGACAGCAATGGTTGAAGAAAAAAAATGGATAGCAGAAACTAGAAGAAGAAAGAAGAAATGGACAACATACCTGGGTTATGATGTCGCTGATGAACTAAAAAGAAGATGAAATCCCAAGCCCTAATATTTGGTTTATTGATCGAAAAAACAAACGGCGCTGATGGTTGTTGAAGGAGAAAGAAGTGAAAAACCCAAGCCCTAATTTGTATTTTAATCGTCGTTTGGTCGCTGCCTTTTTTTTTCCAAAAAGCGCTGCTACACATCGCCTCGCACATCGCAGCGCCTCTCGCTACATAGGCAAAGGCGCTCGCCTTTCTGAAATCGCCACGCAACAGAGCAAAATGGCGCCGGCAGCTCGCATCGCATCGCCTCACGCTATTAGCGCTGAGGCGAGCGCTATTTACAACACTGTGTGAGAGTGCCTAGAAAGAGACAGGATAGAAGGTTGTCAAACTTGTGCATTGCAAGTAGTTACAATAAGCTTAGTTAAGCTAAACAAACGTGAGGATAATGATAAGGTTTTCCCTTCTATTTCAGGGTATATTACGTTGAATTTGATGTTTATTGCAAACAGAGAGAGAATGAGAATAAGCACATGATCTGTAAGCGACCTCTACCTTTTGCTACACCGATTGCATCATTTGACACAGTGCTTTTTCCAGTTTCCCTTTCTGACCTCAAAAAATGGATGAGGTCTACCCTCTAATCATCGCCATTTTGATCTTCTGAATCGCCCTAAAGCTGGAGTGCAAGTACTTGTTCTTTTCTTTCACGTATGAGCTCTGAATTCGGAGTGTCAAGATTTGACACATTTTAGCTAGTAATAATAAGTTATTTGGGAATTCTTTCTGTGTTCTATGAACAGAACACTCCTTTCTATAGGTATTCTGAGTTCTGATCTCTTTTGAGTGGTCAATAGCACAAAAAATTTTACTCCAAGAGAGAACGAAATAAATTGTAGTAGGTCCAGACATGGATCTTGGTTGTGTCATTCTTGCTCAAAGGAGCTGGACGGGTTCCATTATGATGTGGCTGAAGTAGGACACTGTAGTACATCTACTAATTTTTTGTTACTATCATTTTGCCTATTACTACAGTTCTTTTTTCTCTATTACTGTCTAGCAAGCCATTTTATAAAAGATGCTGTTATCTGAAAGATCAGCGAGAACAGATACTGTATCCTGTAGTTGGTGTCTGTGTCTGTTGTTCCGCATGTGTAATAACCTTTGCTTTCAATGAGAATACTTAAATTAGTTAGATGCGTGACTCCATATGTTTTCATATGATACATGCTCACAAAGGGAGGATGATTTGTTATGACACCAAATATAGAATTATCTGTTTCATCATTGGGACGATGTCATTATATTAGGTTCAATATCAAGATATTCCTAGTTAATACTGTGTCTTTTCATTGCAGGTATTAAAACCGTTTTCTTTCCTTGTGGTACATTTTCTAAAGTTGCCAGTGTTGCTGCAGACAGGCATATATGTAAGTGGCTTTATATTTTATTTAGAACTTTCTGGTCTATTAATGGCTCTACTAATTGTGAGTGATGAGGAGTGAAAATGAAGCCGTCCTTTTCATTCATCAATCTTCTTTCTCTTTCTTAAAATAAATGAAGAACTGGTTAAATTAGTTACCCTTTTTTTTAAGATATGTGTAACTCTTTGTCATATTTATATTTCTGCAAGTGACTGCTGACAGACGTACTAGTTTGAGTTGCTAATACACATTGTAAGAGAAACTATATTATGTTTTCCGGTTAATTTTAACATTAGAGTCTACTGTTTTTTGTCAAGTGTTGCGTCTTTGCTGAAAGTTTCAATTTCCGAGTATGATGTAATCTTGGGCCAGGACTATGAAATTATAGTCTTCTTTTGAGAAAACTATAATTAGAAGTTTGACATATAAAGTTTTTGGACCATCAAAGGTTGGTCAATCCCTCTTTTCAGACTAGCATTGCCTCCCTTTTAATTGCATTGATCTTCTAAGAAAATAAAAACAGCAAGGTCAATGCTTGACTATGTCTTGTAAGTTGATTCAGAAAAAATCTTGAAAAGGTTATGCATACCCTTAAATTCTGTGGGCATAATTAGATATCTTACTTCTATCTTTGTCAGTTGAAAATACAAGAACCATTTTCTTGACTTCTGTATCAATTAGTGTAGTTCGACAGCTTGTTTTTTTAGCTTATTCATTTTTATACTTTTGAAGCTAACAATATGAACTTTTGAATGTCTGTTATGTAGCATCAGCGGAAGCTTGTAATGAATTAATGGCTTATTCTTTGATACTATCCTGCTGTTGTTACACATGTTGCATCAGAAGGAAGCTTCGGAAAAAGCTAAATATCATGGTAAAGAGAAACAGTTATGATACATAAGTACCTTCATGCATGTTGTGTCAATAATGCTTCTTTTGATTTGAGATGCAATAAATTGAATACCCTCGAGATCTCACGGGCCCTGCTAAAAAATTTTCTTTTCTTTTCAGGGTGGCTTTGTTGATGATTTTCTTTCTCATTTAATGTGTTGTTGCTGTGCTCTTGTCCAAGAATGGCGCGAAGTGGAGATACGTGGGGCTCATGGTATGCTTCACTGGAAAATCCTACTCTCTATTTTATATGTTTATGTATGGTGCTTTTCTGTGTTAGCAATATTTGGCTGGGAATTTCTTTGTAATTTCTTAACTTGATTTTTTGGGATTTTTAGCAGTCAGTTGGTTCCTAGTATAACTTCCTAATTGTGACTGTATTGTGTTATGATATGCAGGTTTAGAGAAGACAAAAGTGAGCCCTCCAACCTCTCAATTCATGGAATCTTGAGAAGTTAAAGTTTGCATTTTAGCTTTAAAAATATTAAGAAGCATTATACAGAGGTAACGGTTTATTACTGTTGTCACTTTATACGTGAGAGTATTTTTGCGTGTTCAAATCTTCCTTGCTGTAGAGTTATTCTTTTACACAGGCTCAGTTTGTAAAAATGACGAAGTTTACATTGGTTCTTTGTTCATTCGTTTACATTTGGTTATACATGCATGTGATGTACGAATCTGTCACTTACTGGGTGTACATACAGGGAATATTTTGACATCTGAAAATGGTTTGGGTCTCCGTGCTCTGATATATTTTTATGTAGTCTGGTTTGGTATGGTAAATTGGTATGAGCATGTTACTGGAGCATTAGCCTTTATGGTGGAGGGATGTATTTCTTGTTAAAATAAAAAGGAGAACAATCATTAGATGTAAACACGAATGCCAAGCCTTACAAAGTCACAAGGCAGTTGCAGTTTTAATCTTCGTTAGACTACGTGAGATTTTATTCCCTCCTCCCTGAAACCGCCCTTTTTGGTTTCTTTTTTGCTTCTTGTCGAATGAAGCGTGTAGCATACAACGTTAAATAATAGTACTAAATTTTTTATAAATCAAGCAGTAAAATCAAATGCCAATCGAAATACAACTGCATGTTTAACAATGGTATATATATCCAGCCATTATGTCTGAAATGTTATACTTTCCAGTAAAGAACCGAGCTTTTCATGTTGAAGGTAAATAGAACCGTGCGCGCCTTGTTAACTCAAATATTGGGGGTGATCTGTAGACATTTATTTATCAATTGATTGACTAGATGACAGAGATATTTGCTCTTGAGTGCAATCAACCAATTGCAAAGAGCACGTCTATCGTCGTTTAGTTTCATACTTTCCATTTTATTTAGAAGAATTACACATTCACATAATTTAATATAAGAAGACTTTTCCAATTGAGACATAATGCGGAAAGTCAAGTGTTTCAATCCAAATAAACCCTTAATACTCTAATTTCATCGACAGAAACGAGCAGGGAAAAAACGCAAAAGAGTTGGTTTAATTTCCAATTAAAAGAAAGACTCCTGATACGCAAAAGGGGATAAATGCAATGCAATGCAATGCGCATGGTTTGATCAAAAGCAAAATTTTATACGTTTAGCCAAAGAACAAGTTTAAACCGTATGCAAGATACTTTTCACGTGATAACAAGTTGCAGAATATGACACTCTTTTAGTAACACCCACCACAGAATGTTCCGATATACATTCTTGTACTCAATTTTTTTACAACTACATGGCTTTAACTTGATATTATGAGTCATTAGCTTTTGGCAGCACAGAAAGTGTATATATATCTCGGCCTTACAAATGAGTTGGTAAACTAGTTGAAATTTGCATACATATACATACAGAGATATGTGGCTTAGTTTATTGGCAGTAGCATTAATAGTTGTAGGATTCACTCATTGGGTGTATAGATGGAGAAATCCCAAATGCAAAGGGTTATTGCCTCCTGGCTCTATGGGTCTGCCTATTATTGGCGAATCCATTGGGTACTTCTCTTCACATCCTTTGGAAGGAATCCCACCTTTTATTCAGGAAAGAACTGCAAGGTTTGTCAACCTGAAAATGTTCAGAGGATTTTAATTTTATATATAGTCAATGCACTTTAACCTACTAAGGATTTTACTTATATTTACGTCACACACACACAAAAAAAGATTTTACTTATATAGTACTTTAACCGGTTATACTGTATTTTAAGATTACCAAACCAGAGTTACTATTAAAATTACCAGCTGTTATAGGGAATCCTAATCATGGTTTAATTTGAATAAATATGTACTTCTGAAAAAACTTTCTTGATTTTGCAGATATGGGAAGATATTTAAGACTAGTTTAGTTGGGCATCCAGTGGTTGTATCTGCTGATCCTGAAGTCAATTACTATGTCTTCCAACAAGAAGAAGTATTGTTCCAGTGTTGGTACACAAAGAGTGCTATTGAACTCACTGGAAAAGATGGCTTTCTTGACAACAAAGGGACTGTTCATAAGTATCTTAGGAATTTAGTTCTCAGCCTCGTTGGCCCTGATAAGCTAAAACATAACCATATTTCTGAAATTGACCTTAATATTCGTAAACACTTGCATCGATGGGCTGGCCGGGGAGAAGTTGACGTCAAAGAAGCATCTGAAATTGTGATAATCTCTTAAGCTTTTAGAGAGAACACACTTTTATCTAGTTGATTATATTATGTTTCAACGCGCTCTTCTTTTCGCTAATAGTAGTTAATTTTGATATATATTAATCCAGATGCTAATCACATTTATGGCGGAAAAGATCCTGGAATGTAATGAAGAAAAAGCATTGGAATTGAGAGAGCAGTACAGAGCTTTCATGGGTGGCTTTGTCTGTTTTCCAATTAATCTCCCTGGTACAGCTTATCATGCCTCTTTACAGGTGAAGTGTGAAGTATTCTGTTGTATCAAAACCTAATATGACAACCTAAGAAATAGAGCTGTAACATGCTATAACCGGTTCACTTGCACCGATATTGTGTAAAAAAAATTATATTCAGAATGTATATAATTTAAACTCATGGAAGAATGGATCACTTTATACATGTATGGTTTAGCTGATTAGACCTAATTAGTTTAAGTTGAACATTTTTTCAGGGGCGTAAAAATGCTATGAAGATGATCAAAGACATAGTGAAGGAGAGAAAAACATCAAAGGAAAAACGAAACAAACAAGATTTCTTGGATCACCTTCTTTGTGAAGTAGCCAACAAAGAAACAATTCTAACAGAGGAAAATGCCCTGAATACTATCTTCGCAGTATTGTTTGCTGCTTTTGAAACAACATCTGCTGCCATTGCCTTAGGTCTCAAGTTTCTCAATGATCATCCTCAGGTGTTGCCACAACTTATGGTTCGTTCTTGAAAATCTCATTCTCACCTATTTTACTTCTTCCTTGTTTTTTATTTCTCATATTATCTTACACTATATCTCTTTTTCTGCTTCATTTAGGAAGAGCACGAGAACATTGTTAAAAACCGAGAGGACAAAGAGGCCGCGATTTCATGGACAGAATACAAGTCAATGACATTCACACATAAGGTGCATTTACTTTCCATATTGTATTTGTGCTTTTAACTTAATTTAAATGGTTCAAGGCACTTCTTATATATACTTTTAATAAATTTTGGCTTAATAATGTTATAATCCTGCCTTTGTTTTGTTGTTGCTAAAGATTAAGAACTGAGCTGCAGGTTGTGAATGAAATAGTAAGGCTAGCCAATATCGTGCCAGGAATTTTCCGAAAAGTACTGAAAGATGTCAAAATAAAAGGTGATGAAAATTCATACCATTTCCTAGTCTATTTACTTTTGTAGATATCTGTGTCTATTTATTCATCTGTTTCTTCTTTTATTATTTGGTTTGCTTCATTCTGAAGTCCTTAAATTGTTGCAGGATTTACAATTCCAGCAGGTTGGATAGTGGTAGTATGTCCACCATCAGTTCATCTTGATTCAAATAACTATGAGGATCCCTATGTCTTCAATCCATGGCGTTGGAAGGCAAGAGACATAATATTTATACTTCACATGCTCTCCTTATCATTTCTTGTACTAACATTTTATATATAATGGACTTCTCTTAAACTATATATGGGAATATATATAATTATATAATTATATAATTAGGAGGAAGAACTACATAGTGTATCCAAAAAGTTCATGGCATTTGGTGGAGGTCTCAGACTATGTGCTGGTGCTGATCTTGCCAAGCTGCAAATATCCATTTTTCTCCATTACTTAGTCACCAAGTACAGGTAAATATTTGCCTATTTCAAGTTAAAACTGTTCAATTGTAAAATGATTAGTCACTATGATTTCGTTATTGATTTTTCAGGTGGAGAATGAAAAAAGAAGGGAATATTGTGCGGACACCGGGTTTGTACTTCCTAGATGGATTACACATCCACATCTCTGAATCTGAAAGAAATAAAGAAGATCAAAACCAGTTCATTAGCTAGCTGATGAACAGTTGATAATATTTAAATTTAATGTTATAATGGATGTAATGTATGTTTGACAAGTATGGGCAACAATTGCTTGCTTTGAACTAGTGCAACTGTAATATATGGGACACTAAGTTATTTGTTTATTAGTGGAATTTAGAGGTTCACATCACGGTCGATTTATTTAAAGGGCAACCCATGCACAAATTTAAGGAAGGGTCGCACTACATGGGTGTGACGTAGACAAACTAGCTTAACGCAGACGGTAGTGACTGCTTCTATGACTTGAACCAGTGACATATAGATCACATAAAGATAACTTTACGTTGTTCCAATGCTCTCCTCATCGCGGTAGAGTTACTTACTTATACTAATTGATTTTCCTTTCTAAATTAAAAGATTAGCAAAAATTCATTGAAACCTGGAATGCTCATAGGTTAGCATATACAAGGGCAAGGAGTTTAGATGCTCAATATTTCAGAGTGTCTAAAGCACAATATTAAGTTGGGTTTAAAACCTTTTACAAATTCCATGTGCGCAAAACCATTCACTTGTCGTTCCGGTGAGAAGCTTGATATTCTTGTAAGTTGGAAAGTTATGGCAAATATATGTGATATATTGTTCTTTTAAAAATTGATCGCCTAAAATTTTTTCTGCGTGAAACTGGAACCACCTTGAAATAAAAATGGAACAATCAATCTTGGGGATTTTAATTTTATGTACACTTGTTGGACAAGGTGATTGTAGGATTTAACCTCTAAAAATAGTACAAAATCATTTATTTGTAGGCTTTTGAGATCAAGAGGGGTAAATTGGTAATTTTGAGAAGTGGTGTAGATCACGAAATGCGACCTGCTTTAAAATTCCTTTTTTTTTTTTGGGTTTGAAATTGCAGAATATTTTAACAGTAGACACCGATATTCTCTGTTTTAGGCAGCCAATTTTTTTTTTGTTTTTGCTATTCTAGCTTAATTCGAATTAGATTATTTTGCTGGATTGAAAACGCCAATTATCCTAAAATTAAGATTCGCTTATTGTGGTAAATATTTACTTGTAGTATATTTTATTTCAATAGTTTGACGTAATTTTTCTATCGTGTGTGTATTTTCATAATGATGATATTTTTAGAAAATCAATTTTTATTGTTCAGAGTCTTGAAGGGTTATTTTCGCTCATGGTCATCCAACTTATCATTTATTTCACAAAAGTCACTTATCTATTTTTCATCACTTAAAAGTCACTCAACTTTACCTTTATAACTTAAAAGTCATTCTAGTTCATAACCTATAAAATATCCAATAAAATATATGACATGACATTACATTTAATTAAAAAAACTAACAATAATGCCACATAAGCTTAAATAGACCATATCTATTTTAGACCCATTTCTTCCTCAGCTCGATTTCGGTCGATTTTTTGAATATTAGTTTTAATTTATTTTTTATGAAAAACCGACTGAAGTCGGTCGATTTCGTAAAAAAAATTAAAAAATAAAATATTTTGGAAAACCGACCGACTTCAATCTTACATAACATATAAATGTACCACTTACAGACAAGAACAACAAGCTAATAAGAATCTATTCTCACAAATTACTATTTCATTAAAGTCAAAATATTGGTAAGAAACACCCACAATGAAATTGCATAGTAGAAGTTCACTATTAAAAATTCAGCCAAAACCGACCTCGGACAACCGTTCGGTCGGTCAAAAACCGACCGAAAACTCGATCGAAGTCGGTCAGTTTTTTAAAATATTTTATTTTTTAATTTTTTTTATGAAACCGACCGACTTCAGTCGTATTTTTTTGGCGCAAAAATGCGGGAAACTATTTTAGAATACCGCAAAATTTATTTTTTAAGAAACCGACCGAAATCGGTCGGTTTTTCATGTAAAATAAATTAAAACTAATATTCAAAAAAACGATCAAAATCGGGCTGAGGAAGAAATGAGTCTAACTTAGATATGGTCTATTTAAGTTTATGTGGCATTATTGTTAGATTTTTTAATTAAATGTAATGCCATGTCATATTTTTTATAGGATATTTTATAGGTTTTGAACTAGAATGACTTTTAAGTTACGAAGGTAAAGTTGAGTGACTTTTAAGTGATAAAAAATAGATAAATAATTTTTGTGAAATAAATGATAAGTTGGATGACGTTCAGTAAAATTAACCCGAGTCTTGAACTAGCCCTCCTTACAATTAAGGCATATGTAATACTTACAGGACCATGGTTGCTCTAAGCTTCATCATCCTTTTTTGTGACACTTGATGTTGTCCATTTGACATGGAATCTGACACTCTTCCTCGTCTAACAATACCAATTAATTGTGTGATAAACTAAAATATACTTCCAATTGCCAAAGAGGAAAAATTGGCTTTTCTACAGTAGCTTTTCCAGCAGTTTCATTTAGATTGATTTACAATTGATTAATCCTGGCTTAATTTCCCGGATATTTGGTCTGTAGTATCAAAATTTTCCTGTATTTCATCGTAACATTGTCACATTTTTATTTAACGTATTAAAAGAAAAGAGCGAAACTTTCTTCATAAATATGATCTCTCTTGCCAATGTGAATTGTTTCTTTTTCTGTTTTTACTCAATTTAATTAAAATCTCACCTTCTAAAACTTTTTGACGTACTTAATACAATCTTATTTTGTACTTGTACTGCTAGGTGGAAGAAATGTAGATTTCCTCCAATAAGAACCCAAGGGAAGGAATATTGCTAATGTCGTTGTTTTGAAAGGTGAAACAGTGACGATGTCGTTTTCAAGCAACAGAAACCTTAGAAATTCGTTTTAACCACTACAGTTTAGGTGGGGGATATTTATAGAAGACTTCTACCGATAAATATTGCAAGAATCCGGAAAACTTTTTCGCATGTCTAATATGAATAAAAGTGAGTGTTCAAGCAGCCCTATTATGTAACATGGACTGAATAATTAAGCTAAGAGTTGGAACTCAACAACCATGTTTAAGACATAACGATAGAGTCTCGTGTCCTAAAATAATGGTTAGAAGTTGCAGTCTCTATTGGTGCTACTGCATTGTTGAAAACACTAAAAATCCTTATTTCTCTCATTCCTAACCACTCTTCCAAACCACGCAAATTAACTGAGCAACCACCACATTTCTCCTATACCACCACTTCTTATTAATAACCACATCAAAATGTTTCTCCTATGTTCTCTTAAATACCAATGGCTTTCAAGAAATTGCTGATCTCAATCTCTACTTTCAAAGATATATTGATGTTGAAGTTGATTCAAGCCATCAATCAGAATAAATCAAGAGTACATGAAGTGGCTAGACTAGGTGAAAACTGGTGTTGTGTGTGCTTGTCAAAGTTGAAAGATGGAGATGACAATAGAGTTTTGCCTTGTTTGCATGAATTTCATCGTGATTGTGTTGATAAATGGTTAAATGGTGACCGGAAAACGTGTCCGGTTTGCCGGTTTTCGATGGAAGATGGAAGGAAATTATCTATCAAAACAGAGGCCGCGTTAACAGAGGAGATGGTCATTTGGTTTTCCTCTTTTCATGTTGCTGGCTTCTGATCAAAACTGTACAGAATAATAACATGTTGATAATGTTGCAGTGGAGGAGTTGTGACAAAGCTAACAACATCCTTGCTTAAAGCATTTCTTAGTTACATGGCACTATATTTTGTTAATCTTACAAAAGATTGTTGTCTGAAAAAGAAAAGGGAAATACACAATACTTCAGTAACAATTCTCACCCATTTGTTTGGGGTGCATTTTATCTTTAGTTTTAATTGTACACCTTTGATAGTTTAAGTGGACAAAAGTCTTGTATAAGAGTTTTTTCGATTCTTAGCATTATTCACTCGAGCAACCGGCGGAAACCAACATCCTCTTAGTTACACTAAACATTCAATAATATGTCAACTTATTATGATCTGATTCAGGGCTTAAATTATTAACCAATTTCTGTAAAACTTATTAGTTGATTGACTTGAGTTATTTAAAAACTACTGTAATTTGAACTGGAAAGGGCCAATTATGGGAGCAAACTCATTATAAAGCGCTAGACTAATCTCATGACTAACATAACTAATTGGGAAAGACCAATTACGAAATAAAGTCATTATATAATTGTTTACCCAGAAATTTGAGTAACAATTAAACTTATTTAGTGGTTTTAAGGATACGTGATTTAATCCAATACCAATTGATAAACAAGGAATTGAATAGATAATATGAATAATAAAATAAATCAAACCAGTGTTCTAGCAGAGCTTTCGACCTTGATTCGAGATGGTCTCGAGGTTGGATAAGGAAAACAGTAAAGAACAGAAAAATAAACAATGATGAACAGTAATAGATAGTAAGTGAAATAGAGAGCAGTGTGTTTTTGTATATATTTCTCAGTCAAAAATCCCCTTACAAATGAATGAGGTCCCTCTTTATATAGTAAAGGAATCCTAAATAAGGTACAATTCTTATGACGAAAACAAATCCCATGATTGACGTCAATAACTGCTTGATTCGATCTGTTCCGGGATTTCCGCCGAGATCTTCGGTCGGTTGCTAATATTTCGTCATTCAGTTATTACGCCTTACTCGAAGTCGGTCATGCTCGGTCTCGATCTTCAGCGAGCACTTAGATCTTCATGCTCCATACTTTGCCATTGAGCTCGAGCCTGGTCTATTACTAGCTTACTCTCGAGGCAGCTCCTCGTGCCTATGAAATCTGATATGCCCGATTTCGACCGTATACAGATAGTCCCCGCGTTTCATGGAATAAAATGATAAGAAACGGTTTGAGCCTTGATTTTCCGAAACCTCGATCATGACGTCGTCCTTATGACGTAAGTGATGGATGTGATTGAAACGTCCCGTCAATTCAGTTCCCCAAATCATTAATGCTTGTCAGTTAGCGGTCGGCCACTAAAGCCACCAAACTGTCGCAGTAAACCTATAAATACCCGCTCCTTCATTGAATCAAACTTTACTTTTGCTCTAACCAAACCTCTAAGTATTCTCACTCTTTTCGTCTCCTCCTTTTCGTCATCTGTAGAGCCACCGTCGTTAGCACCGAAACCACCAGTTTTTCATCTTTCTTTGCTCTTCTTTACTATACAAATGGCGAAAACCTCAATGACTGTACCGCAGAAGGAGAAAGCTTCTTGCTCCTCTTCCCGGTCGTCCGACGGCAAGGCGCCGGTGGAGCCGCTTCCCCATGAATATATTCCCAGCCCGTGTACTCTAAAATCCAACTTCAAGGTCGAAAACCCTTCATCGATCCCGAGCCGATGGGAGCATGTGTCGATGTACATGTGCTCAATATCGAAGAGCCACCTCGAGGCTGTGAAGAGGGACTGCAACTGGGGTCCCGAGGTCGTGGTGCAAATTCCTGCTCCCGAAGAGAGCATCACCGCTTATGTGGAGGGGTTCTTAAGTGTTTATACTTATCCCTTCACATTGGGTCCCCTCGACCCAGTGATTATTGATCTCTGTAAAAGATATTAGGTCACCCTCGGCCAAATCCACTCCTCTCTATAGCGCATAGTAATCATGCTGCGCTTCTTCTCTAGCAAGGCCGGGGGGCTATAGTTTACTCTAAATCACCTCATGCGGTTGTACCGGCCTCGAATCTATCGAGGACTAATCAGGCTCCAACGCCAGACAACGAAGGCCTTGATCTCGAGCATCGACGAGGACAGGGATCGGGGTTGGATGAGCCATTTTATACGGGTGAGGACCTGCGACATTATCTCGGAAGAGAAGATGTCGTTCCCTAAGGAGTGGAACTTCAACCGTAAGTGATCTTTTAAACTTTGTTCTTCGTACCTTCTTCGACTTCGCCTGATATCCCCTTTCGATATGCAGCTATTCCTTGGATGCCTCAAGCGGTACCTGACCGCAAAGATTGGGTAGCCTCAACTTCCACATATGCCGAACGCGCATGGTGTGATTTGGCAAAGGGCAGATGGGAGGCCAAGAACCATGGTAAGGATCTCCTTTTTCATGTTCTGAAACACTTTTTATACTCCATTCATCATTAATTTTATTTCATGCAGGCCTGACCAAGGATGCCATTTTGAGGCCTTCAAGTGGCGAGGAAGAAACCAAGTCCCCGGTTCCGAAGCCGGGGGAAGACAAGAATAGGAAAACTGCCTCGCAGTCCAAGGACCCCAAGCCCAAACCTCAGAGGGTGAGGAGGAAAGTAATCGCTCTTGCGATGGACTCGCTCCAAAAACTGAGAGACGAAGAAGAGGAAAATGCCTCGATACTGACGGTCCGACCTAGGAAAGCCGTCGAGGGCACCAAATTTTCTGAGCCGACGGCGGTTGCTAAAATCAAGCCTCGTGTCGAGGAGGCTTCCAAAAATAAATCGCGTGAGGATCCCGAATTATCAGAGGTCGAGACCGTTTCTCGGCCATCTACAACTACACCGGACGGGGCCGGTTCTGAGACCTCGAAGATTGATCAGAGCATTCCGAGCGACTTGCTCGGGACCATGACAGTAGGCCACTTGCCTTCTCTTCCGACCTTTTCTGAGGAGGCACTAAGGGAAGCTCGAGAGTTGAAGACCCCTGATATAGGCGGAGACTCTAGTGTAGGGGATCCCTTTCAGGATTGCTTTACTAGAGTCGATGATGCTTCTGATATCGGTAACGCTTCTATCCTTTTAGAAGAGGCCCAACGTCTCTTATCTCAGGTAAGAATCAGTTTACTGCACTTCTTTTCTTTACTTTTTTTTCTTTTTCTCTAAATCTGACTTGTGTTTTCCTTTTTTGCATAAGCCTTCACCAAGTTTTGAGCTGACCTCAGCCAGTGTGAAACCGAGCTCCAAAAGGTCTCGGAGGAGAGAAACGCTCTGAAGCTTCTTTGCGGCCAAAAATACGAAACCATAAAGGACCTTCAAGCGGATTTAGCCAAGGCTCACGAGGAAGAGGTCGAGCTAGAAAAGCAGGTGAGCATCCTTTTGATAAAGTACGGACTCGACCCAACTGTGGAGGCTAATACTTCATTATCTCAGTTGCAGCAAAAAGTTGAAAGGATCGAGCTGCTTCGGGGAGAAGTCGATCAGGTAAAGGCTGATTGTGAACGGTAAAAGGAGAATATGGACCGCCTGGCTACGAAAAAAGAAACTACCTTGGCCAAACTATCATCGGCCAAGGTTCAACTTCGGGGCGTCAAAGAGAAAAGTTCGGCCCAAGCCAAGAGGATCGAGGAGATTGAAACCGGGCTTGCTAAGGCCAAGGCAAAGATCGAGAAGGCAAAGGTCATGGCGGACAAGTCCATTGCCATATACCGGTCCGATGCTGAGGCTGCTCAAATGCAACTAAGGGAGGCTTCTGACCGAGAGCAATGGATCATTGACTCGGCAAAGTGTCAATCCCGGAGGGAAACCCTCGAGGAAATCTATACTTGAGGTATTGACCTCTCCGAGGAGATAGCCCGTGCCAAGGTGCTTGAAGCTAAAGCCAAGCAGCTTGATGAAGAAGGCAGTCGAGGCGGATCCGATGAGGGGCCTAAATGGGAAGTTGCTCCAGGAGAAGAGGTCGAAATCGGCCGTAGTTAGGGATTAATTTCTCTTTTTGTAAGACCTTGATCGGTCTTTTGTACATAATATTTTTTACCAATATATAATAGAAAAACTTCTCTTGAATGTCTTCTCAGTTTTATGTTCAAACGTGTTTTGTGCTTTTGCCTTGTGAAAATTTTGTTGTTGCAGCTTCTGTAATCGAGCGAACACTAATTCGAACTTTAGAATAAACCCTTAGGTTTTTTAGACGCGCAAGGGCGAGTACCCGAACTCAATAATATGTTCGAGATTTCGGATGGCTTGATCGATGCCATGACTGCACTGTTTTTATAACCAAGTTCGAGTATGTTTCGAACTTAGCATAGAGTAAACCCTTAGGTTTTTTATCTAATAATGGGTAATTTTCAAACTTACAGTAACATACCCCTTAAGGTTTTATGTCGGATCCTTGAGCTAAATTCAAGTCAACTTTATTTGAACTCGGAATAGTGGAACCCTTAGGTCCGAGTTGAGTGGGAACAAAGTCTCGAACTCTAAATGTATTGGCCCTTAGGCCCTTTTAGGCTGGGCCCTGTTAAAAATAGTTTGATACCTCTTAAGGCTTTTCGAGGGCTAATTTTATCAAAGACCTTTTGATTATTTGCCGAGGGTAGCCTTTTTAATCGATGTTTTAGAGAATTTGAAGGCCTATCGTTATTGTGGAATTTGGACGTCTCCGAGCCGCGTTATTTAGGTCGTAGCCTTTAGTTTGGACGTAACCTTCGGGTTTGTATTTTGGCCGTAGACTTCGGGTATGCCTCTTGGGCTTATTTTCCAATAACATTTCGAACTAGTTTGGAATGTCAGTCCCCGAGAATGGTGGTCTTGGCCTATAGATCGAGGGGTGCCTCTTTGAGGTCTTATGAATTTGAGTTTAGATAACTCGAATATGCCTATCATCGATGGTAGTTCCCAAGTGTATATTTACACTTTGACTCTTGAGCCGTTTCTTACAATATCATAAGCATGAGGTTTGTATAGCAGAGGATTTTCTTCGAGACAC